GCTCGCGAGAGTGTTCCCGCGCGCCAAGGGTAGCCTCACTTCCTCGGCGGCGCCGCCGACGGCGAGATGGCCACGGAGTTCGGGTTGGACGGCGCCCTCCTTGTGCCCGCGCGGACCCGCGCCGAGAAGGCCGTCTCCCTTGCCGACCGGGCCCGGGCTTTCGCGATCGTCCAGCTCACAGTGACGGCCGTGCACCTGGCATGGCTCCTGCTCTCCAAGTCTGCTGCGCAGGCCCTTTCCTATGATGCGCGCCTCGTGCCTTCTCCGGCATTGGGCGAAGTAGCGGGGCCTGTGTGTGACAGGTTGGAGGCGGCCGTGCAGGACGCCATAGTCGGCAAGCAGCTTAACGACGCGTCCGTGGCGCAGTTAAGGCTGGGCGGCGCGTTCGGCGGGTTGGGGCTGCGGCGCGAGGCGCTTGCATGCTGCGCGGACGCAGCGTTGTGGGCTGCTTGGACGTCCGTGCGCGCTCGGGCCCCCGCGCTGTCTGCCGCGCTGGGCCTGCATTGGAGGGTGAACGAGGGGGTCTGCAACAGGGGGCTTTCAATGGGTGCTGAATTGCCCACGTATGCACAATTTATTGTTCATGTATGTGATCGGGTATGATTGGCATTCAATGTTGGCGGTCGTGGGGGGCCAGTCGCTCGTGCCCGCGCGTTGCCAGCGCGGGCAGACGCACCGTCCATCCATTCTCATTCATGCGTGCGGGCGTTCTTGCATATTTCGCTTGGGGCGGCGAAGTGGAGTGCAAGTGTGTCTTGGTTGTGCGATGAATGATCGTGTGCGTTCCCAAACGATGATTTATCGACCCCAAGGCAAATTTGGAATGGGGCCCGCGATTCTCCCAAAATGTGAATTCACATTCTCCTTTTTCCCAATCCTGTTTTTCAAAATGTGAATTCACACTCTGGCCCCTTCATGCAGATTCCTATACAAACTTCCAAACATGTGAATTCACATATTATTCCCAGAGTGTGAATTCACATGTTCCCTTTTCCTGAAGTGTGAACTCACATTTTGCTTTTCCCCACGATATGAATTTACATGTTTCCCTGGCCCTCCAGCTCCCCATAAGTGAGGCGCAGTGTTCCTCATGTCTGATTGGGTGGACAGGTTTCGACACTCACTTCACCGCTTTCGTTTACTCCAATCTTCCCTTGTTGCGCCCTCGGCGCGCGTTGCCTTCGTCGCCTTTTCCCGAGCCCCCCGCCTCCTTGCTTCGTTCACCTTCAAGTCTCGCGCATGGGTGCAGGCGGGGAGCTTCAATTGGTTGCCCCGCCGAGCATATCAATCGAGGATGTATCGCCCTTGCATGGCCCATAGAGACACCATTGCCGGGACCCTGCGCCCGACCCCCATTTTCATCCTTCAACTGCAGCTGCCCACGTGGGCGGGCGAGTCGGACGCCACAGGCGCCCAACGCAGGCTTGAAGCGGCTGGGGTCATCGCTGACGCCCGGGGCGGCGCAAGGTTCACCCGGGACGCGGCGGCGGAGTACCGAGCAGGCCCATGGGCGACTGACGTTGCGGTTGATGACCTCGGCGCCGAGCCCCCGCAAACCGGCCTGCCAGCGAGGGCGCCGAGGCGACTTGCCAGTCGCATTTCCCGGCATTTGGAGGCGTTTGGGGCCATGCGGCCTTGGGGCAGTCTGGGTGCAGAGCGGTGCGACGGTTTACTGTCCTCTGGCGGCCCGGGCGCGGCGCCTTCTGGGTTCAGATGCCCGCGCAGCTGGCGGATTACTTCCCTACGGCGCACTTCCGGGCTGCCACGCTGCGGCGCTTCGGCGCAGTGTCTGCGCCTGCAGTGGCGACGTGCCGGATTCGGCGCAGGGTCGTGACTGCGAGGACGTTTGCGGCCAGCAGCTGGATCGAAGCCTCAAGCACGCGCAACTCTGAAAGCAGGGCCCGGCCAGAATGATACCGCACCGCGCCTTGACGCTGACCCTCGCCGGCCTGCTCCGGGAGTGCCGGGCGGAGGTCGACATCGAGCGAACCGTCACCGAGCTCGAACGGTTCACTCCGACGGGCAGGGTCCAGGAAACGATCCTCGAGTTGGTGGTCACGTTCCCTGGCTCGGTACAACCGCTGTACGTCGACGTGACCATCAGATGTCCGCACGCTGCGCGGTACATGCGTGCTGCGTCTGTGGCGGGGGACGCGGCTGCCGGGGCAGCCAGGGGCAAGCGCCAGCGTTACCGCAACGCGGTCCTCCCCGTGGCTGTGGAATCCTATGGCCGGCTTGGCGCTGAGGCTGTCCAGTCCCTGGAGCACATGGCCACGCACGCTGGCGCCTGCATCCTTGGGCGGCCCCCAGGCTGGTCCCCTCGTGGCGGGCCGCGCTGGAACGCATCACCCAGTAGGCCGCTGCTGACATCGACCTCGTCGCCTTCGGTTGCAGCCCGGCTGCCGCCCAGGCCCGGCGGGCTTGGGGCCGTGTGACGGGGTTGGCGGCACAGCCGTAGCAGCCGAAATTGCATTATTATGTTGTGATTCGACCAGAGTTTGCTTCCAGGTGGTACCTTAGCAGGAGCAGGAGCAGGAACAGGATGACTTGGACGAGGAGGAGAAGGATCACGAGTAGGAGGAGGAGGAGAAGGCGGAGGAGGAGGAGGCGGAAAAAGAGAAGCAGGAGGAGGAGCAGGACCAGGATCAGGAGCAGGAGCAGGAGGAGGAGGAGGAAGAAGTGGAATGAGGCGTTTTTTCGCCCCTCGATTGGGGCCGGGTGGCCCTGACGGATCGCTGCGATTGTACAAGCGTCACAGAGATATTGTGTCGGGGCTCTGGTCGTGTTTTTAAATATTGGGAAGGCCTTACGGCTGGCGCCACTGACCCCTTCAAAGGGCGACGACGACGACGACGACGACGACGACGCCGACGACGACGACGACGACGACGACGACGACTACGAGCCCTCGTGGGGCCCTTGTGGGTCTTGTTGGCCTCGGGGCCCCCCCTGAGACCCCTCCCGGGATTGCCTCAAGCGGTCCCCTCCCGGGACCGTCCGCCTTTGGCGGGGAAGGGATCAAGGGCCTTCCCTTCGACTCGATTGGTGTCCCCCCTCTTGCAGCTCGGTGAGGTTCTCTTGGGCCGTTTGATCGGGCCCTACCCCCGGGCCCCCCACTGCTAGCCCCCCCAGTACGGGGACGGGATCAAAGGGAAGAGGTTTACTTTGAGTCGATTGCGACGTTGTTCGATGGTGGAGCGTCCAGGGAAAATTGGAGTGGCGACGGTGACTCAAACTGAAAAACGCCTCACACGCTCCGGAAGGATCGGCTGATTTTTTTGCGACTTCGGGTCTCGGGGTCCGCGTGCGTTCTTTCCGGTCCCTCCTGCTGTGCACCTTCTTCATCTTTCTCCTCATTACCCGCCCTGCCTCGGTGAGGGAACGGGGGGGAGGGGGGTGGAAAAGGGGAAAGTGGGCGGGAGAAAGTCAGGCAGGACGAACAGTAGTGGTTTCAGAGCGTGCCGGTACACCCGGGGCGTTCTCGAATGCTTTGGAGCAGCCGCAGCGCCCGTTGCATCTTCTGGACCCGCTGGCTCTGAGATACAGTGGAGGCCCATGCCAAGAAACACCCTGCTTGCCTCCTGGGTGCCCTGGGTTTCTTGGGTTTCGATGGTTTCGCTATGGGAAGCGTGACGTTCCCACACCAAAAATCAATGAATGCCCTGGGGTCTCAGGGTTGGGTTTCTTGTGGACTGACCTCCGCTGTACCTCATCCCAGCTTTGTTGCGTTCCGGGTTTCGATCTGAAGAAGGGAAGGAGGGCGGGGACGAGGGGGGAGGGGATCGGTGCAGGAAGGTCTGCCAAGGGAGCGGAGAGGGGAGGGCGGTGCAGGAGAGGTGGTGACCGCGTTGCAGCCCGAACGCAGAACATCCGTGCTGGAAAACGGAAGCACGTGCTGCTGTTTCGGGGTCTAGCAACCCAGGAAATGGCGATTCTTCCGCCTCCTACGCTTCCTCCTTCTTTCTTCTCCTCCCTCTCCCTCTCCCTTCTCCGCCCTGTCCACTATTTGTTTATCCCGCTTGTCAACGCCCTTGGGGCACAACATGCTCATCTGTCTCGTCGGGGCAGTGTTGCAGCCCACTTTGGACTTCTTTCGTCGCGGCAGTGAGCCAAGGTTTTCTATAACACTGGCTCAGAGGCAAAGGTGTCAAAAGAGGTGGTGGATTAGGAGGAGGGGGCGTTGGAGGAGGAGGGGGTGTGAGGAGGTAGGAGGGGGTGTTGGGGGGAGGGTGGTGGTGGTGGGAGGAGGGGTTGTTGGAGGAGCAATAGGAGGAGGAGGAGGAGGAGGAGGAGGAGGAGGAGGAGGAGGAGGAGGAGAAGGAGGAGGAGGAGGGGGGAGGAGGAGGGGGGAGGAGGAGGAGGGGGAGAGGAGGAGGAGGAGAGGAGATGATGATGATGATGATGATGATGATGATGATGATGATGATGATGATGATGATGATGCTGATGCTGATGCTGATGCTGATGCTGACGATGATGATGCTGATGCTGATGCTGATGCTGATGATGATGATGATGATGATGATGATGATGATGATGATGATGAGGAGGAGGAGGAGGAGGAGGAGGAGGAGGAGGAGGAGGGGGATTGAGGAGCAGGGGTGAGATGAGCAATGGGAGGAGGATGAGGAATGTCGGTGGGATGACGGGGAGGTGGTGGAGGAGGGCGACGAGGTCGCGGAGTGCGTTCACAAGGTGGTGGAGGAGGTGGAGGAGGAGGAGGAGCAGTGGGCGCTCGAACAGCAAACCAACTGTCGAGCTGCACCGAGCGAAGGGCTTTGCGTGCCAGGTTCGCAGAGCTTACAGCACGCCTCACAGCCGTGCGTCAGGTGCAGCAGCAGTAGGAGTAGGCTGCGGACGGCGAGGGTTTCGGCTACAGTGTCGACGACGTGGAGGACGAGGCCGAGGAAGAGGGCGACGACGTCGAGTGCGAGGCCGATGGAGAGGACGACGGCGACGCGAAGACGGCGGCGGCCGCCGCCACGGCCGCCGACGCGGAGGCTGAGGAACTCAACATCGGCGAGGCGCGCCAATAGGGCCCTCCGACATGGCGAGGAGGGAGGGGGAGTTGCGATCGGGAGGGAGGGGGGAGGAGGGGGGAGCTGGGAGGAGGAGGGAGACGGGAGGACAGAGAGCGATGAGCAGGGAGGGGCGATGGGGGGAAGGGGGAGGCGAGGGGACGAGGAGAAGGAACGAGGAGGAGGAGGAGGAGGGGGAGGAGGAGGAGGAGGAGGAGGAGGAGGATGAGAATAAGGAGGAGGAGGAGGAAAAGGAAACGTCGGCGGGGGAGGAGGAGGAGGAGGAGGAGGAGGAGGAGGAGGAGAATGCGGGTGAGGAGGAGGATGATATAGAGGGAGGGCGGGGAGGACGAGGAGGTTGCGGAGTAGTAGGAGGAGGAACACGAATACGAAGAATACTACGAATCATATTAATACTGGTCATGCAACGAATACACGCGTTGTTAGCGATGGTGCGAAGACATATGACCAATACTGCTAATGAGAGTAAGCATGCGAACACTAAACATAGGATGAAGACGACTACTACGACTACGATGACAACTAATCGTAAGCACCAGAAGAAGGAGACTAATGATACGAATAATACGCATCATAACACGCACACTGCGAATCGCAACAACAGTCATTACATTACATTGCTACTACTACTACTACTACTACGACTACTACTACTACTACTACTACTACTATTACTACTACTACTACGACTGGCGCCCATACGGCTAATCCTATTGCTACTATAGGTGTAAAGGTTATTGTGTGCCATGTTATTGTGGGTGGTATTATGATTACGTCGGCGACGATTCGCACTACTATTAGGTTTTCCTGCTACCCCGAATGCATTTAAGCAAACCGCTAATACTAACACCCATATCAATGATACCACGATACTAGTTTTCGTTATAGTGTTCTTACTACATTCCAGTTAGTAGTAACGGTCATATGGGTCTATCACGACGACGACGACGACTGCTACTATTATTACGGCGGCCTGCTCCTACTACCACTACTACTACGATCACTATGGCGATTACTACTACTACTACCACTACTGCGACTACTACTACCATTACTACTAGTACTGGAAAGCATACGAATGAACCAATACTTCCAATATGTGAATGTGAAGAATGAGGCTACGATTGTTCATGGGAAACGTGACAACACTAATAAACATTCGCCTGGCGAAGGGCCGAACCATATGCAGTTGTGAACACCGCAGTTGTAGGTATCGTCTTCAGTGGCTCGTATTTACAGGCGCAAGTAATTATCTGAGTAGTAGTAGTAGTACGACTACTACCACTACTACTACTACTGCTGTTGCTAGTACTACTGCTACTATTACTACTACTACTACTACTACTACTCTGGCTGTCTTTAGGGTGGGTTTAGGTTGAGTTGGTTGAGTGTTTTTTGTTTGATGCCGACGACGATTGTAATGATGGTGGTTAGTGGTTCTCAAATCGTAGTGCTGATGGTGGTGGCGATGGTGATAGTGATGATGGTGGTGCTCATCACATCCAGAATCGCCATCCTCACCATCACCATCATCACCATCACAACCGCCCTCACCATACCATCATCACCATCCCCATCATCATCATCAGCAGCATCATCATCACCATCCATACCATCAGCATCGCCATCACCATCACCATCGTCACCATTGTGGTCCGTAGGACTTGGCTCAAGGTAATGTCGTCGTCCGCTCCTGCGGTTTCCCCGAGCCCTCCTTCGGTTTCCCTGGGCCCTGCGGCCGCCCCGAGCCCTGCGGCCTCGTCCTCTCTCCTTTGGTTTCCCCGAGCCCTGCTTCTTCGAGAGCGCCCTCGGCGGCTCCTTCGACAGCGGCCGCGGCGGTTTCTTCGAGAGCGGCATCCTCGAGCCGTGCGGCCTCGTCGAGAGCGGCCCCGTCGAGCCGCGCGGCCTCGGCGGCCTCGTCGAGGGCAGCTTCGCCAAGTCGTGGCAGCTGCAACTGCTCGGACGCCGATGCTGACGTAGGGTCCGACGCCGACGGCGCCGACGGAGTTGCCGACGCAGCGGGCTCCGAAGAGGACAGCGGCTCCAACAGCGGCTCCGACAGCGGCTCCGAAGAGGACAGCGGCTCCAGCAGCGAGGCAGCCGCGGCTGCAACAGCGAAGGCGAAGGCCGCCCCGAGCAAAGTAGTCGAGAAGTTCCAGCCTTCGTTGTCCATGGCCCTGGAGGGGCACGTCGCCAGCCACGACTACCCAAAGCACGTCTCCACCTGCGGCGCTTGCAAATTTTGGAAGAACAAGGAGAAGTGGTGCGCCAGGATGTCTGCGACGAATCCAGTAACACTGAAGAGTGAAACTTGGATAGGATGCGTAGGTGGTAGATTTGCAGTCTGCTTGTTCTGCTCGGCGTTCAAGGGCGCTCGTTGCATATCCACCCTGGGCCAGGGATCCGGGATTTTCCAACGCGAGGGAAACCTCGCGCGCCATGCGCAGCGCGAGGAGCACCAGGCAGCAGAAGCGGCGCGGAAAGAGCGGATTCGAGCGGAAGGTGCGCACCAGGGTCTCCCCGTGTCTGTATTCCCCACAACGGATGCATCAGCTGCAGCAGCTGCAGCAGCCGTGGCGCCTGCGCCCGTCGTCGTCCGCGCCGCCGACCAGCGCCCTGGTTGCCGCGCAGTGGTCGCCACCCGTGCAATGTTGGAGACGTCCAGTTCCTTCAGTAGTTTCGACGCGTGGCGGGATGCGTTCGTTGGGGGCGACCGCCAAGTCTTGGCGTCTAGTCAGCAGCGCCGAAGGCTGGTGACCACCATGGCTCAGCACGAGAAGATCATCGCGCAGAGGACCCTCAAACATGGTGCTGTTTTTCGTTTGGCTGCGGGCGGCCTCGACCGCGCGTACCAGGTCGAAATTGGCACCGCGCTGCGGTCGATCCCGAAGGCTTTGGACTTCCTCCCAAGCTACGGTATCAAGGCAGGCTGGCTGGAACAGCTGGGCCCCAGAGGGCCCTGGATCGTGGATCGGGTGATCGGGATGCGGGAGTTCCCGCGGGGCATGGACTGCGACGGCAAGGCTCCCATGCCGGAGGAGTGCGTCTGTCGCGCGTGCCAGGCGGCAGGCGGGGAGCTGGACGGGGACTTGCACAGGCATGTGCGACAGGAGACTCGGGCATGGCGCAGCGATGGGGCGGATCTAAGTGCACCCCTGGCTGCATCAGATACGTTCCCTTGGCTGGCGTTTCACGCGTGGGGCGGGTCTCACTCGCCCCGGAAGGTTCTGGCCAATTCGATGAAAGGAGACAGCGAAATAACGGCCACGGACGAGCTGCTGGTAACGGGTAAGAAGCCGCCTAGTCTGGCCAAGTTCTTGACTACCTCCACCGCGTTCCGCAACGCACTCGGGGAGCAGCAGCTGGTGGAAGACGGCGCCGCGTTCGTCAAAAACTTCGGCTGGGCCCCGCAGCGTTCCAACAGTCGGGCGAGGCCCTTAGCACGAGAAAGTCGGCGTTGGGAAGTCATTTTCCAGGCGCTCGGAGTGGAGTCCCAGGGGAAGGACAAAGATCGGCGCATTCTCGCCCGACAGATTCTGGAAAGGGCTCGGGGGCGAGAACAGTTCGCGCCTGCTCCTGGGGGGGCTGCTGGCCGACTTGAGCGCGGAGCACTACTCCTGGGTCGCCACCGGGGACAAGAGCAACCCCGACGCTGCCAGCGTTCAATCCAGGGCCGCCGCTTTCCTCTCCAAGCTGGATACAGTGCTCGTCCAGGGGAATATTCTGGGCGCCCCCAACACGTTTACTGGCGCCACCCGCAAGTTTCTGAAGGGCACGAAGCGGTTCGCGCGCGGCACTGGCGCCCAGACCGCTGGTATCGGCGATTGGGGAACGGGGCCCCGAGCCCGCGAAGCCGTCCACGCGGCTCTTCGACGATCGCAGGGGACCGTGGCCAATGTGAAGGAGAACGTGAAGCTGTATCGGCCAGAGCATTCTTGGTTGCACGCATTTACAGCCTTTCGCTTGCCTTCCCCCCTGTCCCTGTCTGCGACAGAGCATGCAACAGAAGCCGAGGCCTGTTTGAAGCGCATCTGCCAGACGGCAGACCTCCCCGAGCAGGAGGCAATCCCCCAGCTGCGGCGAATGTTGCCGCGTGCCGAGGTGCATCATCGAGACGGGGGCACCACGCGGCAGGCTTGGGGCCGCGCTGCGGTGGAGTGGCCCGAGCCCCCCAGCGGCCGTCGCCTCGTGGAGCTCTTCCTTGTATGGAAAACGAGCACGGGCAACGTGGAGAGGCGATTCCGCCGTTTCTCGGAGGTGCATTGCCCCGAGAGGGCGCGGCTCCTCGACGTGTCCGTCGAGGAGTGCACGCTCGTGGACCAGGCGCCCTCCAGCAGGTTGCTGCGCGCGTGGCTGGGCGACAACGAGAGCTCTGCCGCCAGTCGTTGGTACAGGCATGTGGTCAAGCTACACGAGGTCGCGCAGGGGAAGATCGCGCCGCTGAGGAGGGCCGGGGGGCGCGACAAGGGAAGCGCGCGGGAGCCTGGGGCAGCACGTCGGACAGAGGTAGGCTTCGGGCGCAGACGAGCAGCTGCCGTCGACGCCATGGCGGCCGCTTCCCCGAGCAAGCGCGCCCGCCTTCTCGCGGAGGGCGCCCCCGATCTCGCTACGCTGGCTCAGGAGGCGGCCCAGGCGAGCGGCGCAGATCCAGTCGGGCCCGCTGCAAAAGTCGTCGCCGCCGTCGCCAAGCGGGAGGCCAAGATCCGAGAGCGCAATCTTGGAGGGGCGAAGGCCGCCGCCAAGGCCAGGAGCACGCGAGAGAAGAAAGTCCTGCGCAGTGCCAGGCCAGCTGCGGGCCGCGACGCTTGCTTGCTGCCCCCCCCGCGCCCCGCTGGGCCCATGCTGGCTCGCATGGTAGATCTGGGCGCTCGCAACAAGGCGCAGCGCTTGCGTTTCAAGGCGTTTCACGACCCGGTGGACTTCCTGGACTACCTTGCCCGTCATACGGCCAAGGGGAAGGGGAGCGTAGTCTCGGCTGCAGCAGC